AAATAAGGGGTGGGAATACCAGTGTACACCTAGCTTACCCCTTTTATCCAGAAAGCCATCATAGATAGGAAAGTAGCTTCAGTGGTAGATGTGTAGATGTGGCGCTTAGAGATATGGTTTAGCAGTGGACTTGGCAGTGCTGGGGTTATGGTGGGACTTGATGATCTTAGAGATCTTTTCTGACCTGAATGATTCTATGGTAATAAGAAGGTAGATACCAGAGGAAGAGTCCAACTCCCATGAGTTGGAATTACCTTATAGGAATCTTAACCCAGGCCTGACACTTGTTAGTGAGCATCCTAGCTGATAGGCTATTATATTTGGTGAAACCAGTGCCAGTCTTTTGATGGACAGTGGATGTACACTGACTTAATGCTTCAGCTGTGTGTAACTTAGTGTTAACACAGTGATTCCTTCAGCTACTCTTCTGGGTACTTGAGAGTGTGTAGGGACACTGCCAGTTCCAAATGCGGTTGTCAAAATACTTCACTGTTTCCAGTGGTCATGGATGGGTGACTTCTTTTTGCAAACTTAACTTACTTCTTGCTGGACTTGAGCAATGTCTAGCATTTAAGTAGTATTTAGGCACAGCCTAAATGTATTAGGTTACCACTGTCGTTTGCAGGTGTGAAGGTATCACTGTATACCATGAAAGTGGGAATTGGATTACATCCTGTATAAATACTCTTCTTTCATTTTAAGATTTTTCATGCTGACAGTTAATTTCTTAATTGGTTAAAGACCAAAGTTCTTCCATGACTTTTATTATTTAATCTCTATCACAGCTAAATAACTAAATAAATTAGTAGGCGTAGGAAAGAATTACTATGCGTTTACACATTGCAATGCTGTGTGGTTTTAAAAAAGAAGATGAGAAATATCTTTCTTGTTATTTTCATTTTCTCTGAATCTCCTTACAAAAGGCTTTTTGAGGCATAAGTATGAACATTGTTAGCTATCCATGACTGACCAACCGATGTTGTCTGTGGCAGAAGTTCACAAGCTGTGCCTCAGCAAAGCAGTGTGCAAACACTTTCTGATGATGCTACCCCAGCATTAACAAAATAGAAAAATAAATTTGGAAGCCTGACCCAGGCTAAATGTTTTTCCACATTGTCAGCTAACCCTACTGCAGCCTTGGCTTGGTTGTGGTTAATTGGGTGATTTGCTCAGAAAACTAGGCTGAAAAGTTCTGTGGCTAATATGACTTAAATGCAAGAAATTTTATAGTGGAGAACCCATTCATCTGTGTAGTTACTACGTTTCCCTATGTTTAGTGCTCTTTGCGGTTTATTATTTCCCTTTTTATATGATTTCTCCCTAGTTGTGATTAGAATCATTATCAGAACAAACTAGATATTTGGCAATGTCCAAACTTTCCAATATTTATCTTATTTAGTAATGTGGTATTCCCCTTGTTACTTCTCACTTAAGGAATTAGCTGAACATTAACCAGCTGATTGAGTATCTTTAATACTCTATGAAAGAGATGCTAAACCACTCATTCAGCAACATTTGTCAACACTTCAGACGGTAAATGAAGAATATAAATGAAAAGGATGTTGTTTTACATCTGAAAGGATAGCCTTCAACATATTAAATGTCTAGCTAAGCTTCTAAAATGATATTTCCTGAAATTCTACATTGTGGCTTACAAGCAATAGTGCAAATCATTTTCAGAATTATCAAATGTGTATATTGGAAGTCTTCAGTTTTAATTATCCTTTTCAGTCTAATCATGATTTTTTCCCTTTCACAAACTTAAATATTCAGTATTTAAGAGATTACAGAACCTAAGAAAAATTAAATAATTTTTGAGCCAAAAATAGGAAGAGACTCTTTGGTATACGAGTCTGCCTCCTGTCTGCCGTAGTTCTTCAATGTAATGCTAATATATGATGTGTGATTAAATCCTGAGGGCAGCTTTGAAAAATCCTATGTTAACTTAGAGGTAATTATATATGGAAATCTGTTGTGAGTGCTGTGTGGGTAACTTTTATTTATGCTTAGTAAAGTATGAAACTGGCATCTCTATTTATAAAGCTATTGTTTAAGGTTCCCTTTTGTTCTGTCCTTGATTTAATTCAGTCTATTCAAGTTTTGCTCAAACAGCAGGTTTGGTCATTAGTAAATAACGCAAAAATAGCTTAGCTCTTTGATCTGTACAGTCTTTACGTACAACATGCCTGAAGGCATGTGTAATATAAATATTTTCTAAGTGCAAATAAATAAAGGATTTTGGATAATAGACATGTTGAAACTAGCAGTATTTTGAAGATTTTCAGTTCCTGTTGGATAACACAGGGAGCAAATAAGCAAGAAAAACCTCAAATTTCAAAATTTACAAATCATTTGGTTTTAATAGCAGTTATAAAATTGCTATGTTTTTAAATCCTATTATTTACAAAGGGGAAACTGTATTCTTATTGATTTGCATAATTATAAAATGTGTAGTGATTTTAAGCTTCATGTATGGACTGTCTTTAGATTCAGAAGTATGAAAATTTGCAATGCATATCAAAGTTCTGGCTTTAGTTGGAGTGTGCTACTGCATTTATTAATATTATTATTAAGTTAAACATCATCCTATGACTGTGACACAAGTCAGAGAGCAAATCCCATCTTTACTTACTAGTCAATATTGAGGAACCCAATAAAGAAATTTCCAATTTCTGGTGTGAACTCTATTTCCAAGGAACACACCAGGGCAACTGAGTGTAACTGCTAGTGTACTGTATAACTCTGAAAGTAGAACTACAGGGTTTTTTATTATTGAAAGCAGTGTAGTTAATTTTGGAACTGGTTGTCATTAACTTCTTGCCTTTTTCCAACAATTTAGTTCCAAAAATTGTGAATGAAGAGATAGTCTGTCAACATGAGGTCCCCTTTGGTTTCCTCTGTGATTCTGGATCTTATATGAGAAGAGGGATGTGTTTCTCTGATCACTTCAAGGTAGTTCTTAAACAACTTTGACCTCTTATACACTTCAAGGAGCTCTCAAAGATCCTTTCAGAGACTAGCAGCATCTTTGTTGAACCTCCCCAGAGCTCAGATTGTTCATATATGTATAAATGCAAAGCTTTGCATAGCATAAGATATGCAGAGATTTTGTGAGAAAGACTGTAAATTATTCTCAATTCTTCACACAGGGAATTATGCTCAGTAATTATTTGTACAAATATTAAAATAGAAGTATTTCTAAATGCTAGTTTTGTTGAAGCAAGAGACATTCTCAAAAAACATGTTGCATATTGAATGTGCACTTTGCTCGGAATATTTTTGATTTCTTTCTGTGTATGCCCTGTGTATGCCTGCAGGTAGTTTAGGGAAAACCGAATGCAGGCTGCACTGTAATGGCCAGTCCTGACTTGTCCCATCCTTCACAGAGCATTTTGGCTGTCTCCGTTACCTGGATCAGAAAGCTGGTCTGTCTGAAAAATACTACAGGAAGACAAAAATGGAAGTTGTCCTCCTGCTATAATTGACTAAACCATCTCACCAGTGCCAGGGAAAGAAGTAGGGAGAGGAGGTTGGATTGTCTTTTCCACCAACAGCCCACAGTGGTTTTAACTAAATGAGTCAGGAAGCTGTATTCTAGGAAAGCAAATGACCAGTTTTACTTGTAGAATAGATACAAGATTTAAGAGATACAAGAGAGATTACTCTTGAAGCTCTTTTAGGTAAAGTGCCTGGCACTGTTCTGTGAAGTTTATGTAGTTCCTGACCAATCTTTATTATTATACTTTCTTAGGCCCTCTAGGTTACTATAATGATACTAAATCTTTTTAATCTGTGATTTTTTTCTTGTTTTCCTAGAAAGTTTGTCTATGTTGTTTCATTTGTTTTGGTCTTAAATTGAAAGGTTGGATAGTGTATGAAGGTAAGGCTAGAGACTTGGTGTTTTTTTACCTGTCACAGGGAACAGAAGGGGCTGAGATGTATCTTGGTTTGTATAAAAGCAAAGTCTGATCTCAGTCCTTCCCTCATGGAGGCTGAGGAGCCTGCACAGGCAAATTCCATACTTGCCATAAATGTACACCATCATCCGCTTTTGCTGACAGCTTCAGTCAGCTGGCACAAGAAGCTTCACAACCTGAGGCAACTTTTGATTATCCATAGCTTAAATGCTTTAACATTCTGGAAATAGAGATCTGCAGCTTAAACTTGGCACAGGACTCTGTGGGAAACCAGTGAAGCACAAGGAACAACAGAAGGCAAGGAAGTTCAGGCAGTGTAGCCAAGGAGACACCCAGGTGGATCACAGCTAGTTATCTGGTACTTTTCTGGCTGAGTCTCGCAAGCCTGTGTGAGTACATTGCATTGCTGTTTCTAATTGGATTTAGGAGGGGAATGTAGTGCCAAAGCCAAGCTGGCACTTCTGAGACGCCAGGGCATGTCACTTGGAGAAAATGTACTGCAGTGCTGCTTGAGATCTCAGTCTTTGGGCAGAGTCCAGTTGTGGGTTTGCTTGCAGTTTAAGTACTCAAATTAAATGGCTATGATTATGAACTTTCTCCTTTTATCTTGCTGTGGTCTGGTATAATTTTGTTCCTTATCAACCATTATTGCATTAGAGATGCAGATTTATTGAATACATTGTCAGGTGAATGACAAACATTTAGTCAACTTTATTTTGTTGATAAAGAATATTGCAAAGTTTATATCTTTCTCTTCTTTGGTATCTGAAAATTCTACAAAAACTCAAATTAAGCAGGATCCTGTGCAAGTAATCTGATGGCTCGATACCAAGTTTTCAAGTATTACTTTAAAGATTCTAAAGATAGTTACTTCCAGAAAAGATCAGTTAAGTGCATTTCCATGGATTCATGCCATGAAGATTATATTATAAAGTTATGAGTATGTCCTTGTGAAAGATAAAGAGTATTGTTGCATCTAGATTTCATATATAAAAAACCTTACTACAGTCTCTAGTTGCTTCACATTTGGTGATTGCTTACTTGGGGTTTCTTGTCTCCTTTTTTTTTTTTTTTTTTTAATAGACTTGGATTATCACTTGCTTTTGTCTTCAACTACTCCTACTTAATCCTCTTGTCAAAGCCCAGAGTTCCTGCGGGAATCCAGTCACAGATGATGTGAATGACATTGCAAAATTGGTAAGTAGCTTTTATTTTAAATTATTCTTTATGTTAAACAATAATTAGTGTCTAATGACACTTATATTTCTAAGTGAAGTTAGTAAATCTATATTAGAACCAGTGACATGTTAAAAGAAAAACTAATCCATCAACATCTGTCACTTGAACAAAACCTTTTTTGCGAAGATTGGAGAGTAGTCTCAGTGTTCATTGAGGAGATGACCTTGACCAAGACGGAGTGTATGTACACATGTGGTTTCCTGACTCCAAACTTCAATAAAAATTGTCAACAGCCTTCATTTCATCAAACATTCTTTCAGATCAGATTGTTTCCCAGGCAGATGAAAGATGATTGTCTGTGTGCTACTGATTTGTGTGGAGCAGACTGGTGGCAAACTAGCTGAATTGAACCAAAAGTCTTTACTTCATGTGTATGAGACTAGTGCCATATGTAAAACTAGTGTGATGTTAGACAACTTTGTAGCAATCAAGACAATAACGATTGAACAGCTTTTGCAGCCTTTAGGTGTGAGTGGGTTACACTCGTTAAATGTTTCTCTGTTTACTGTACCCAGAAGTTTAAGTCTAAAGGACTCGCAGCTTCATATAAGAACTGAATTCATTTAAGTAGATTTTAAGTACTTAATTGACTGCTATATTAACCTGAAAAACTACGTCTTCTTTTGATGTCAGTTGGTATTTAACTCCACTGAAGTCAGCAATTATGCTAACTTGCAGTAGTGTGGGACATAATACCAAAGTTTTTAAGAAATAACACACACTGAACACTTAAAAAGCATATCTTCATCTACATATGGAATCTAGCTGAAAGTTTTTGTTTCATTGTGGGAAAAGAGTTGCAACACCAGTGTTATTATTATCAAACACTTAAATTGGAGTCCCTAGCATTTGTTGCCAGCACAGTGTTCTTAATTCTTCTTCTTTGAGCATTTTTATACATATTGGCACGTAGCGTAAATCTCTAGGGATACTCTATAGTCTTACTTAAATGCTGAGTGCTTCAAATTAGTCTCTTTAGGCAAAATTTTGAAGTATTGGCATATTTATTCCAGATAATATTTCATCTGTTGGAAGAGTATTAAGCTTTGATGTAAATCTGTTGAAAGCATGCAAGAACAAAAGAATTCCTGTGAGAGCTGGTGAAATTGTGCAGTGCAGGGTTATCAATAACTTTTTGTCACTTAAGTGTCCTCAGAACAAGTGCTCTAACTTTCCCTTTAGTACAATTTAAACTTAAGAATGTAAGGTTACAAAAAATTTGCATGCAGCTTGGACAATCTTTGCTTTTGAACAAGCTTTGCTCTTGAGATAAATTCTAAAGGAAACCTAATCTTGTAAAAATTAGGTTAGTCTTTAATTTGACTGTGTTTTTTCAAATCATCTTCCTACGTCATCTTCTGGCCAGCAGCTGCACTTCCTGCACATATCCCCACAGCATTATTTTTCCATACCCCTACCCTCCACATGCCCTCTTAGTTCTACACATGCAGCATGGTGACTAGTTCCCTCCCATGCCCCCGAGGCATGATGCCTACCAGTGCTTGCTGGATTTATAGCCCCTTTTGCTTGGGCTGCTGGCTGGGCAGAAAGGACTTTGTGTGGTGATTGTTATGGTATATGTGCTGCATGTCCTGCAAGAAAACCACTGCCAACTGTTCAGGTTGCACTGTGCTTCTGCTGCCAAGCCTGAGCAGAGAGGTGTAGGGCTGAGCTCCTTCAGATGCTCCTCCATGGGGATACTGTTATGGTTCTTCTCGTGACTTAGACCCATACCTTTCAGATCTTCCTACCAAATGCAAAATTTGGGTGAAGTTAACTAGCAAGTTCAAAGATATTTTGAATTGGAGAAAGAACAGAGAGATACAGGAAATACAAAGCCCAGACACATGGATTGTCTTTGTTTTGAGTTTCTTGAGTTGTTAGAGAAGGTTTTGAGGAAAGTCTGTCTCCCTGTTTTGTCTGTATTAATATTTGCAGAAACAATTTCAATAAAGCCACTTGAGAATTGAAAAGATAAGGTGAAAATAAGTTTAGTACCTTCAGTTTAGTATAAGAACTATTTGTTTCAATTAATGTGACTATAGTAGATATTGATCATTTTCTTTTGAAATTCTACACCATGACAACTTGACACTGAGAATGAAATGAAAAAAATATATAATAAGATTTAAAATACTTTTAAAACAAAATATCGTTAGCTGACAGTGTAAATACAAGAAGGGAGAAGTACACAGAGGATACTGAATGATCACATCACTTTGCAGCAAGTAAAATATTTTATGCTATATGGACTATTTCCTTAGTACATATAATAGGGACTCTAACATTATGTTGCTTAAAAACATGGTTCAGGAGACTCTACAACTCATGTAAATTACAATAAAAGTTTTGTACCACTTCTGCTTTTCGAAACACAATATACTCATTGAATTAAGGAATGATATTCTGATGACGTGTTATCTTCAAAATTATATATTGCACCCATATGTGGTTGGGTTCTTTATTAGAATCCTAGAATCATTAAGGTTGGAAAAGACCTCTTAAGACAAGTCCAACCTTCGACCGAACACCACCAAGCCAACTAAACCGTAGCATTAAGTGTGGCGTCCAGATGTTTCTTGAACACTTCCAGGAATGGCGACTCCACCACTTCACTGGGCAGCCCATTCCAATGCTTAACCACCCTTTCAGTGAAATAATTCTTCCTTATGTCCAACCTGAACCTCCCCTTGCTCAGCTTGAGGCCATTTCCTCTTGTTCTGGGAGTTGTCTTGGAGAAGAGTCTGACCCCCATCTTGCTACAACCTCTTTTCAAATAATTGTAGAGAGCGATAAGGTTTCTCCTGAGCCTCCTTTTCTCCAGGCTAAACAACCTCTCAGACATCTCTCATATGACTTACTCTCTAGAGCCTTCACAAGCTTCATTGCCCTTTTCTGGACACACTCCAGCACATCAATGTCTTCCTTGAAGTGAGGAGCCCAGAACTGGACGCAGCACTCAAGGTGTGGCCTCACCAATGCCAAGTACATGGGGACAATCACTGCTGGCAACGCTATTGCTTATACAAGCCAGGATGCCATTGGCCTTCTTGGCCACCTAGGCACACTGGTGTCTCATGTTCAGCTGGCTCTCAGCTAGCACCATCAGGTCCTTTTTCTCCAGGCAACTTTCCAGCCACTCTTCCCCCAGCCTGTAGCTCTGCATGGGGTTGTTGTGACCCAAGTGAAGGACCTGGCAATTTGCTTTATTGAACCTCATACAGTTGGTATTGGCCCATTAATCCAGCCTGTCCAGATCGCTCTGCAGAGCCTTTCTACCCTCCAGTAGATCAATCCTGCCGACCTGACCACATAGTGTCGTCTGTGAACTGACTGAGAGTGCCTTTGAACCCCTTGACCAAATCATCAATAAAGATACTAAACAGAGCTGATCCCTGGAGGACACTACTAGTGACTGGCTGCCAACTGGATGTGACAGCATTCACCACCACTCTCTGGTCCTGGCCATCCAGCCAGTTTTCACCACAACAAAGAGTGCCATGACCTGCCAGCTTCCCCAGAATAATGCTGTGGGAGACAGTATCAAAGGCTTTACTGAAGTCCATGTAGACTAGATTCACAGACTTTCCCTCTGGAGATCCTATTGGCCTTTGAAAGTCTTATTTCTTTGCTGATCCAAAGAACCTGTGCTAGTAGAACATAGTGTCTTTAAAAAATGTCCTCCTCTTTCACACTGAGAACAAGTTGTAGCACAGAGGATTTCAGAGAAGGTAATGTTATGCGTACAATTATTGCCCATAATTTATTGTGATGTTATCCACAAGCTCCATCACACTTGCCAACAGTGATACAGTAGTTGTTTCTAAATGCTTTATTCTCAGACTGTCATGTTCTTTAAACCTTTTCATCCACAGTCATGAGTACAGTCCCACATCTGTGTGCAATGAACTGTCTGTTTGGCAGCAGTGTGCAAATTGCATCATTTAGCTTAGGATATTGGCCTCTCTTCCTCCTGTCTCATCACAAATTCTTAGATATCAGCCTCGATTCAGTTTGGTCTGAATTCTCCACTGAGGTAGATTATGATTTCTTTGTGTCTCCAGAATATTAGTGTTTCCTGGGCCTTTTCTCTTGATGCTTCATAGACCCTTCTGAGTTCACTTTTTAAACCTTCATTGTTTTTCCTGTCACAATGTGGGGTTTTTTGTAGCTCTCTGTCCATATAAGTACATTTTTCTTCCAAATTCTTGGTCGATAAAAATACAATCCATGAAAAGTCTTTTTCTATCTTTGACTTCCGTAATTTTGCCCTTCTATCTGTTAACGTGCTGCTCTGACCCTTTATCTTCTTATTTCCTTCAAGCTGTTCCTCCCTTTTTTTTTCACTCCCAGTGGCAAGCTTCTTGGCTTTATCTTCAAAGGTACTATTAACACTGCCTGTGTTGTTGTAACACATGTTCAGTTTGCCCTCTCGTACCAGCTTCTCATCATATCCATGGTATCTGTTATACTGTGGCCACAGGAAAGATACTCCTTGATGTACTCCAGGCAGATTCTCGTGCTTTTCCTATCTTTTGCTAGAATTCTTTGCAGCATGAATCCATGTCCCTCATTTCTCTTATTCCTGCTATGTTTTTCCCTATTTCTACTGCAGCGTACCTGCAGTTTTCAAAACAGTGCCACAATTCCCTACAACCTGGCCTTCCTTTATTTGGTACTGGGCTTCTTCCAAGTACTGTAAACCCCCGTCATTGCTTTTAGAAAACTCCTCAGCATGGCTGTTACTGTGTTCTGCTGAACTGTATTGTATTATAGGGATATGAGAAGTACATGCCTCAGTCAAGATACTCTGTGAATATAGACCAGGGATGTCTACTAAGCCTAAGCTATTGGAGAATAAATAAGGCATGCTGTGCGGTGCCTGAAAATGTGGGTCATTTGCCTAATCAACTTTGTGTTGAGTAATAAATTGAGGACAGATGTGTGGCGTAACTTGTTTTCAGTGTTCTTAATCTGGATTTTCACTAGCATCATGCTAGATTTATATCAGAAGATAGAATCATAAAGAGGGAGCAAATTCAATAACAATAAGGTTTACCAAACCATACTGATATCTGTTCTTAAAAAAGTGATTTGTATTTTCTGTAAGATTAAATTTATTAACATCTATGTAATATAATTTTGTCATATGAAGAATATGCCCTAAGTAAAATGATTTTAAGAAGCAAAGAACAACTGAACAATCATTTTTGGTTTTTAATAATGAGAACTTTAAAAGAGCACAATTTCATACCTATACAGAATGAAAGTATTTAGAGAGTATTCATTCTGCACTACTAATCACTTGAACTCCTGCTTCTTTTTTAATGAAGATGTCTGGAGGGAAACACATTACTTGATGAACAAATGTTCTGTATTATAAAACTGTAATTGCAGCACCTGTCAATAAAGCCTGTCCCCATTGTTCTTTTCAGCACAGTAAGTCAGTAGAAAGCTGCATCACTGTAATTGTGACTTAGATTTTGCATAAGAATTAGGAATCTGTTGTATATATATTTGTTAAATATGAATATCAAACCTACATATAAACAGAATTGTCACTGAGCTCTGCAGTATGTATAGAATATATCTAGATATTTTAGTTTTGTCCATCAACTAAATCTAAGATACCTCTTCTTCCATGATTTACTTCTCTAAAGCAATTTTCTACTTTTGAATGTTGGAAGCCCAAATAACAGTCAGCATTTACTGACCAGGTTGCTTGTTTGAGACATGCTGTTTCAAATACTTTGCTTTCACATTACGTCTTTGCTGTAAATATGTACTTTACACTCTCTGCAACATTTGATAGTTATTTTAAAATAGATCTAACTCTCATGCATGAAGGGGTTATGAAAAATTATCCAGTGTTGTTATCTTGCAAATAACCTGCCACTGTGACTGTAAGAAGTGTTAACGGAAATCGTTAGCATGTTGTCTTAAGCCAAATGACGAAGATTTTATTAACTGCTTCATTAACAGATGAGATGGAGTAGATTGTAGAGATGATAGAAGCAGAGAGAGTGGAAGGTACTGCAGGAAAAGAAAAGCCAGGGATGCAGTAAGGAAGACAGAGAAGTGCAAAGAGCTGGAGAGGCACTTTTGACAAGGGCATTTAGGGATAGAACAAGGCTCTAAAATAAAAGAGGGGCAGGTTAGATTAGATATAAGGAAGAAATTCTTTATTGTGAGGGTCGTGAGGCACAGGAACAGGTTACCTGGAGAAGTTATGGATGTTCCATCTCTGGAAGTGTCAAGGCCAGGTTGGATGGGGCTCTGAGCAACCTGGTCTAATGAAATTGTCCTTGTCCATGGCAGAGGGGTTGGAATTAAATGATCTTTAAGGTCCCTTCCAACCCAAACCATTCTCAGATTCCATGAAAAGAATAGGAAAAGGGAAACAAGTAGAGAGAAATGGGAGGTAGAAAGGATATTCAAAAGCATAGTATGTTTTTTCCCATCATATACCTCAGAGTAAAAAAAGAAAACACTGGCAATGGGAAAAGGTAACTTTTATTTTATTTACTTCCTTTATCTTTGAAATGTGTATAAAAATAATGACATCTATGCTTGTCTATTTATAATTTTCAGAACAGTCACAATAAAGAGAAATTGCAAGAACAGTAGCCATCATTTCAAAGCATGTGACTGCAGAGATAGGTCATCTCTCTTAAGTCTGCTGTTGCAATGAAAGAGTAGTTTATGGAACCCAAATCACTTTTGTATCCTTTTTTCTTTTCCCCATCTATGTGATTGTGAGCATATTTTTAAGGTATATTTGGGTTATGCAATGTTAACAGTGCTGTATTAAATATTCAGATGTCTCTATGTCAAACGTAATCTTACATTCCTGAGTTTGAGATTTTGTTACAGCTGGGAATATAGCACTTAGTGTTCGTTTTATATGTATTTGAAGACATAAGTGTGGATTCCCTGCGCTTCACCTTTTCTCAGAGCCTAATAGGATTTCTACAATCACACACACACACACTAAATCAGATATTTTGACATTTTAACAGCAATGCAGAATTCCTTTAGTTCTATGCATTCCTTTCCAAGGTTATCTGTTGATGCTCTCTATAATCATCAAAACTGTTACTTCTGTTTAAACCTAGGTAAGTCATGCGGGCAGGTGTTTTATGGCCCCCAGAATTAGTCACTGTACTTAAGGAATTCAGTAGAGAAACTAATAGAAAAACCATTCAAGGATGCAGGGAATTTCAAGGGACAGTTGTTTTCCAACCACCCTTGCTCCAGCAGATCAGAACCCCCTCATCATCTGCTCCTTGTGGAAGCCTCAGCAGTCAGGCACCTTGCACTGAGTGGCTGTGCAGACTGCGTTCATTCCTTTCAGGATTATTTCATCAGCTCGCTAATGATGGCTAGCGTTCGATGAAATGTCAAGATTCATTTCAGGAAAGCAAGAGAGTACAAAATGCGCAGATTTAGTATAGACGTATCCTTCACTCTTGCATCAGGGGCTTTATCCTATTTGCTGTGTATGAGTTAGGAAGTCCAAGAGAGACACAAGTGTAACTCTCTCACTTTGACTGAGATCCATCATTTACCAGCAAAGCACCTGATGTGGAGTTTAGTTGATAAAACTAACAAGTTCCGTCTTGAGGCAGGGCATATATTTTGTCTTTGACATGCTCTCCCCAGTGATCTTCATTTTTAGTAGTAAATTCAGAAATATCTTTTCTGATTCACAGTCTGTCAAGGAAAAAAATATCTGAGTCTGAGCTGTATTCTCCAGCTTTGATTGAGAAGTTGAGCTCTTGGGCAGTTAAATTTTTTTAACTATGCATGGAAAGTGTTTCGCAGGCTCTCATGCCACAGAAGTAGATTGTATACATAATGCATATCAACTCTTGTAGTGTTCATTGAGATGGAACAAATTTAATCTTCCAGTGACCTTTCTTACAGAGCAGTGTTTTTGCTGATATTGCTAAATATGGAATCCCTCTAGAGTGAGTATGGGAAACTTCACACACAGAGAGTAGCATCTTCACTATCTATGCTGCTTGAAGTGCTGCTAATCCTACCTCTCTAGGCACGCAAAGGAAGCTAGAAAAAAAAACAGATTACCCATTAGTATGTCATGATGCCATATTTTTAGAAAAAAGAAAAATAGACAAAAAATTTGGATGAGGATTTAGAATAAATCAGATGCTCTAAAGAAAGAACAAATTTATTGCAATATTTTTCAGTATTTATGGCATCTTGAATCAACTCCTCTAAATTCCAGGTAAATAGAAATACAGAGAATTTAATGACACTTCTGGAACTGCTGCTTTGGGAATCTGTAGGTATAAAAAAAAAAAGAAAAAACTTATCTCTGGAAAGAATTTTACCAGGATCATTTGTAGAACAACTGCTTTTTTTAAAGCTGTAGGAGAAAGATAAATGAGACTGAACTGAAAGGTTCTGACTTAGCCCAGATAAATAAAAAAAAAAAAAGTTTGGAATTCACTTGTGTTTGACTGTGCATAAGTATTGTCCTTGATCATTTCTGGAACCATAATATTTTGAAATAGCTGTTTTAATTTTTATTTATTTGAAACTAAATTTTAATTAACAAATAAGACATTATATTTTGTCAAAAAAATATTACCTAAAAACTGCACAGGGGAAAAAAAAGATCCCTGTGTTGGTTGCTATAGCAGCAAAATCAAAACCATCACCATAACAGAATGATCTTTAACCTGAAGTAAAAATGCTTTTGCACCAAAGGATCTATGTCTGTGCATATTGGTTTTGAGTAAATGGATTTCAAACAAGGATAAGAAACATTAATTGAATCTCTCACTGATGCAAAAGAAAATAGATTTACTCTATCATTAAGCATCACATTATTGGTAAACTTTTTGAAAAAATACTTCAGAAGACTGTGGCAGTCCAGTGACTGTTGGACTGTTCATCTCCCAACTCTTCACATTCCCCAGATGTTCAACCATGTCTCACAGTAGTGTCGGATCCCATCTGTGGCAGATTGGTTTGTATAATTCAACAAGAACCTTTCTTCCACTCCTTGTCTTCGCTGCACCACACTCCATGCTCTCCCACATCTGCAAATCCACACTCAGCTAACATGTGTGGAAGTTCTCCTTTGCCCCAGGACATTGCTATGACATAATTATTTTGCTCATCATTAGTAGGAGGAACAACTTCAAAAAGTTCATAAAGTTGTGAACAAGTGTTTTTCTGACCTGGTGTATAACTAAGCACAAGGCAAGTAAGTATTTCTTTAGGTTCCAGATGCATGTTGAAGTTGGAAATTATTTGAAGGAAAAAGGGTTAGATACCTCTACATCCTCTACTGTCTACAGCAGTTAGGGTTATGTAGAAATTGTCAGGTAAACGCTTCAAGACATACCATTAAAAGATGAAAATGCAACGGAGTTTCTCTAGTAATGAATAACTTCATATCACTACTCCTCAATACATTGTTGACTTTAATTCTGCTGGCAACTGGTAGCATTGAACATGATCAGATCAGAGCTGGGTGTATTACAGTGGAGAGTGGTTCACTTGTGAACAAATAAGGATAAATAGTGGTTCCACAGGAAACCGAGTATGAAAGTAACCTTTTTTACCTTCACCTTTACTGGAGGCAAACCTTTAACTTTACCTGCATCTGGCAAATTACTGAAAATTTTTGTTGAATATTTGATAGCTTTTGTTGAATACGATAGTGGAAATTGTGTTGTTTTGTGTAGTCAATAATAACATTTTTATTATCTTTCTATTGTAGGTTGGAAATCTCCCAAATGATTATATGATAACCCTTAAATATGTCCCAAAGATGGATAGTCTGGTATGTACAATCACTTCAAGTTAATTCCAACAAAATAGCCCACTGGAAGCAGTGATGGCTGTAACATTTTGTGCCTAGTCTCATGGCTTAGTAAGTTACAGTTAAATGTTGGTTATTTAACTTTTCATATGCTTCCCAAGTATTTATTTTAAAAAAAAGTAGAGAGATTCCCACAGTCCCTTAAAATCTTTTAAATTACAGGAATCGTAGAAAAATGTTTCTTCATATTACATTTTTTAACCTTTTTTTCTGGAAAAAGTCATACTACAGTATTATTTCATTGTGTCAGTTGAAAATTAATATTTCTTACCAATAATTTCTTGCATAGGTTCTCTCTAATTGTACTTTGCAACTACTGCACAGTGGCCTTCTTGTTTCAACCAGTGGAAATGCCATTAAAGCACAATAAATAGTGAGTAGCCAGTAAGGAGAACCCTAAGTTCAGCAGAAGGTAGCATCAGTAACTAAACAACACAGTAAGGTTTCAAACCTGCTTTGTATTATTCTTTCTGTATAATCCCATATTTAATACATAGTGATACTTTTAAATAAGCATCATCTATATACTTTAAAATTCTATAACATTTTCTACTAAAATCATATTATCTTATTGTTTAATCTACTAAGTATTTTTTGGTTTTCCTCAATTTAACAAAAAAAAACATTTTAGAATGATGTATTGTAAATACTCACTTGGTTGTTGCATACACTGCAAGAAAAAGGAGAAAAAGAAACAAGGTGAAACTACAAGTTGTGTTGAATGCTGTATTGTTTTAAGGAAAGGAAAAAAGTAAGAAAAGGATCATTTTGTCAGTTAAACTTAACAATATTGTACCTGTCTTAAGAATGAATCACTGTACATACATCAGTAGCTGAAAATAATCTACTAGATATAAGAAGCTGGTTTTGTGTCCTTACAAGGTTTTCATTAGGAAAGTCCAGTTCCTGTGTGATAAACATCTAAAAATACATCCTACCCTACAACGTTATAGCAAATCTAGCAATATTTCATATTGACAGTGGAGAATGACGCCAGAAGCAATACTCAGTCCTGAATAACAAGAATATGGGAGGAGAAAAAGGAGGCTGAGGGATAGTGAAGGGCCCTGAGTTGTGAGGTTATGAAGGGTTATGCCAGATGTAGAAGTGTTAAGAGTTTTGTTGGAAGCTCGAAGTTTCTACTAAAACTTAGAGTTTAAAGAATAAAGTTTAAACTTTATTCTTTAGAGAGAAAAATTCTGCAAAACAAAAGCTATGGAACTCAGGTACTAGATCCTATATAAATAAAACTAATGGAAAAATTTCCATTTCTTATAATGGTCAATATTCAGAGAAAAAGGAAGTAAGACTGGCTGCCACCATTCCCTGACTGCTGTGCTTTTTGAAATTCAATGATTTTGGTGCCTGATGTGATGAGATTCACATCTGTGGAGGGCAGCCATAGCCTGAGTGCTGTTCCCCCAGCTTCCAGAATGAGCACAGTAGCTGTTGGGCTGGATTGAGGCTGCTCCCTCCGCTGCACTCCTGGAGAGGTTGTCACTGAAGAAGGCCAGGCAGCCTGCTTGAGCGATGAGTCCTGGTTGTTCTCACTGTCTAATTCTTGCCTCTCTCTGTTGTTCAGTTTTGACTGCCAATATGCAGATTCTTTTCTGTAGTTTAAATGCCATGTCATCTTGATGCGTCATATCCAGAAACTTAGATCCAGTTTACATTTATGACGAGCAGCCAAGAAATAAATAGGAAGAAGTTCAGGGCTGAGATTTCCACGTTCCCTTGACTGGTATACCACTTTCAGTCATCATAATGGGAGATGCGGCTCTTGGGCTCTTGGCCACATGCCTTTGCAGAGGTATTCACATCCCACTTTGCCAAATTTCTCTCTGGGAATTTCAGGTTGTGTTATGCATACCACAGCAAAGGCTGGCTGGATAAAGAGGCTTTGCTCTGGGTTCTGCAAGGTTCCTGCAAGCTGGGAAACCCACAGCTTTGCCTTAAATAAATGCCCTTTTTTTTGTCTCTGAAGGGATTGAAATGGTGCTCTGCAATTTTTTTTCAATAGATTTCAATCTTCTGTGCATGCATAAAGGGGGTAGTGTACCCGAAGTAGCAAGTCTCAAATATAGATGACTAGAGGTAGAAAGGCAGGGTAAATGCAAAGCAGACAGGAAGCCAGTGTAGTGCATGTAACAGGAACAGACTGACCAATCCATTAATGAGAAGGGTTGTTGCATTATGCACGAGCTCAAGGCAACTGAGCGGCTTTAAAAGTAGTCTTCCATAGAGTGAACTGTGTAATCTAGCCTGCAGGTTAAAAGGCAAAGATGACAGCAGCAGGGGCTGAATTCAGAAGATGATATAAACTTCAAACTGTTACATAGGTGAAGAAAGTAAAAGCTAACTGAGAGCTACATGGAAGTAAAAGAGAAGTCAGATTTGCAATTGCCCTAAAATGTAAATCTTGGTCAAAGTTTACACAAAAAATTGAGAGTTAAACCTCCATTTCTCCTAGCAAACAACATCAAATTTTTCAATTTGAGCAGTTTCATCCTTATTTTGGTAGGTATTGAGGTAGCAAGTGATTGCACAGCTTGATGTTAGTGAAAAGAAAACTTAGAGCTCTCATGAAATACAGCTTTGTAGGTGAGAACAGTTCAGAGGAGACACCCACACACATGCTAAACCGCGGGAGCAACAAAATAGACTCCCTGCTGGAATTGCCAAATGCTCACTAGGAGAAGCAACAAGCTTCTAGTTCCTGCCAGAGGAGAATACTCACCCTCAAAACCTCAGAGGAAAAGGGTTTCCAGTTCAGAGAAGCACGGTAGTTCTGTGTCAGTGTTCCTACACCAAAGCAGAAGAAAAAAAATCCACTGTCTCTCTTGTGGTGGCAGTGGGACCTGGCACAACATACGCTGCTTGAACAGAGTATGTTTCAACAAGCTTTCTCTGATTTATTTGCTTCTATCTCTCCCCTCACCTTGTTGTGCTTGAAGGAAAAAAGGGAAGCTGAATTAGGCCAGATGCCATCCATTCCACTTTTTGTTTCATTCTTAAAGAAAAAGTAATTGTTGACATAATTACAGAAGGTGGTATCACTGATTTTCCACTTGTTATCATTGTGTGAGAGAGTCATACACAGAAGTGGAAAGTCAAATGGAGCTGAACAACGTATTTACATTTAGTTCTCTAAGCCTGAAAGCCTAATAGTCTGATTATTCTTCAAAAACATGAAGTGTATTTTTTTCTTGTCAAAAGCATTTACACATCAAAGCAGAACAACACCTGTGGATAATTTTTTTTTTAATAAAGATTCTGTATGAGGGTTTATTAAAGAAATTGAGTAAAATGAAATTAAGCCTAGAAGTGTATACATCACCAAACATTTGCTATGCATTGCAGGAGATGGATTCGGTGGATGATGCCCATGCACTGGGCAGCAGTTGGAAACTGGTTTAGTGATACTGAGAGTACTTAGGTTTTGTTGGGCCAAGATTTTTGTATCTGGAAGGCTTTAATGATCCTGAGACATTTTCAACAATGGAAAAAGTAACTTCACATATGGAATAAATTCCCATAACATTTACCAGTAAAAATTCAGCATTTATTGGGAAGGGATTTCCAGATAAGAGTTGCAGTGTGACTAGTGCATTACCTGTATTTTTGCTGATCATATTGACTTAGGTGTTTTCCAGGGCTGGGCCACTGTTTTATCTATTTGCCTACTGTTATGTAAATCTAAGTAAAAGAAGTTAATGACTCCCTCTAAGACAGCAAGATGAATTACAAGGTTTCAGTCATGTGAACAGCTGTACAAACTTTTTCTGCAAACTAATTGCATAGGTGTCAGTGAAAGGATTTGAACTCTATTCCAGTGGCACACACAGCAACAGGCTGCACAGAACGCTTTTGTCATTGAAACCCTTTTGTCAGGGAAAAAAAGATCTAGAAACTGTTTAGATCTAGAAACTGTTCCCAGTAACGGCATTTAGTGAAAAAGCTGAAGAGAAGAAATTAACTAAGCTAACTAGTTTAAAGGTGCATGAAATCACACAAGGATTTCATGCAAAATATTTATGGAAACCTTCCCAAGAAGAAATTTAAATCAAGGATCTTTGGGGTTAACTGAGTCATGTAAGGTAACAATAATAAAATGAAAACTGATATTGGTTTAAAGAATTGTTAAAGCAGTAGGTGTTTGAATAAAATAAATAGGTTAATGAAACCATGGATTAGGGTTCATAGTAACATGTCCCAAGGCTCAAATTCTTAACAGACTGATACTCGGCACTCATTAAGAATTTTAATGAAGAGATGTCATTTAACAGACAATCATAAATATGTCAGTATCAGTGAGAATAGAAATTTGACCAAAAGGACTGAAGAGAAAGTTGGCCACACTAAAGAAGAATAATTTTAATTTAGATTCTTGAGATAATTTAAATTGGAAAGACCAGTCTAATCTACTTTTGCACATTGAGCTGCTTAACCAGTTTTTACAAAAGTCTGATATTTAATCTACCTCTGTTTCTCTTTTTTTCCCCTGACAGCCTGATCACTGTTGGTTGCATTTGATGGTGCCTGAATTTTCAAGGAGTCTACATAATCTTCTCCAGAAATTTTCAGATATTTCAGATATGTCAGATGTTTTAAGCAACTATTCAATCATCAATAATCTCACAAGGATAATTAATGATCTTATGGCATGCCTTGCTTTTGATAAAAACAAGGTAATCTTACACAGAGTTTTTGCTTTTATACTGGATATTTTTATTCTTACTTTCTGTTATGCAGTACTCAGTAGTAGTTTAAAAATGTCCAAAGCTTCCTTAGATTTGTTCTCATTTCTATTCCTGTACCTCTGAAACCCTACTTTGTTTAGAAACAGTTTACACTGTTCTAACATTGGCTAGATGTTATCTCTTGCTTGAACAAAAATGGCTTACAGGGAATTACAGTGTATAAAATGACTTGTATACAGTTATTTAAATAGTCAAAAATGTGACCATCATATTTAGGATAATTCATTCATCCTGGACTGTTTGAAATGAGCAGATATCTTCCTTGTGCACCCAGCTTGAATGATTCATTTTGCTAGTGATCTTAATGTAAATTTAAAGATGATATGGTTGAACCTATTAATATATTCTTTGTATGTGAAGCTCTGTAAGCTTCGCCATGGTTTAATGAACTTTTTTATACAAAGGCAAAGCAAAGACCATAGCATATCAGCCCATTCCATGTGTTTCTGGATTCCTACAGCAGCTGGAAGGATTCCAGGTGTCTCACTCAAGAGACAGATGATTCTCTTGTGTGAAGGGGGGGGGGAGAAATTAATTTTCTAGTCCCTTATATATCTGTAACCAGTAATTAAAAGTAAGTTCAGTAGTTGAAGTTTTTTTCCACTGATTAAAACAGGCAAAATCTATCATGTTCTTTAGAGCAAGGATTTCATCTTCCATATATGTTTATTTTTGTCAACTAAATTCTTAGCTGTTGTAATTGTACCTTTTCAACACTCAGAATGAATCAAATGAATTAAAACACTCAGGTGCATTTAGAGAGGAAAAACCGTGTAACCTTGTCATATATTTGCATTACATTGGTGAGAGTATTTAGACATTCCCTACTTTCCATTTCAAAGTGAATTCTGTCAAATCTTCAATGTATATATAATTTTTATTTATTTTTTATTTTTGTCCTGATGATTCAAAGTACTCAGCCGGGATGTGGTTGGGGAAAAGGAATTTTATTTTGTAGAATGGAAAAGTAAATATCCTGTAATTCAGAGAAACAACTACCTATTGATTTCCTCAGAGAAAAATGATCTTTAGTCTAGTACTTTCAGCATTAAATATAAAATAATTTTGGAACCAAAACCAGGAAGTTTTCCTTAGGACATATTTAAACCACATTCTTACTGCTGTCTTCCTTCTTGGGAGTACAGATTAATCCCAGGCCAAATTTGACCTCCTGGCATAAGAAACAGCTGTTATGAAAGCCAGAATCAGGTAAAAAGAAAAAGAAAAAAAAATAACTCTCAATCATCTTAACATAGATCTCAATCTTATTGTTTAGTGTGGCATAACACACTTGTCTGTTAGGCCTCAGAGTGATTGGGCTTCCTTGTTTATAGTGCTGCTCTTATTTTTAGGTACATTATCAGGGATCTCAGCCTGCCTCTGTGCAGTGGTGTATTTCAGCTATTGTATTCTGTTCCCTGTTCTCTTAATGACAATACCAATGACTGCGTTGGTTTCATGTGTTCAGATTAAAAGAATCATGTGAAACATTGCAAAGTAATGTGAAATCAAGGTATTTTTTTAAGTGAGTGGAATTAAAAAAGCATCTCTTCATTTTCAATGTAGGATGGGAGACTGTCTTTCATTCCTTAGCAATTTTACAACGCTACATTAATAATTAATTTCTATTTGCAAAGCTAATTTGAAATCCTCAGATCAGAAGACTTATATGTTTTATGAAGATTGTACACAGCCAATCTGGTCTTCTGCAGGTTAAAAATTTAAACTGTTTTGTGTCATCATGGGATATTTTTATCATCTGTTGAGATATTGAAATGAGCATCTCTCTTGACCTTCTTTCAAGCTGAATTCTGTATTTTATACTAGGATTTTGTAAAAGAAAATGGTCACCTTTATGAAGAAGGTCGCTTCATTCCTGAGGATTTTTTTAGGCACTTTAATAGTACCATTGAGGTCTACAAGGAGTTTGCAGACACACTGGATAAGAATGACTGCATTCTGCCTTCAACAGTAGAAACACCAGAGAATGGTAAGATGGCTCTTGTTTTGGGGAAAAGAATTTAAGTAGATATAAATGGGTGATTTTCCTTGAATTTCAGAGATACTAAGGTTCTGATACTGTACCTCCATGTCACCTTTTTTACTGCAGGTTAGAATTACTACTGACACTGAAGGTTGTATTTCTGTTTGAAGGCAAATTCTATGTGACAGAAAAACTAGTGTCATCATTCCTAGAGACATCATTCCTTGATATAATCCAAATAACCTCACAGTGCATCGCTCTGCTTCTTTTCATTCCAAATATATCCTGGATTGTCTTTTTACATTGCTCTTATCTTCTTTTAATGCTCTATTTAGTTTTTATAAGGCAGCAAAGAGCCTAAGATTGCACTACTGAAAGGACAGGAAGACAGGACAAGCTGCAAATTGCAGCAACCTCAAGTCATCTTCATATTCATCTCCCCTCTACTGAAAAGGGCCATGTTTATTTCATTTAAAAATTTTAATAAGCTCAAGTTAGGCTCCTGAATTTTTTTCTCATCCTTCCAGTAAACGGAAGTTTTTCATTATCTTTTCTTTTACTGTCTCTAGTGACAGCTATTAGCTTTTTAATTAAGGCAACATATCCAGTTGCACAGTTACACCACTAGTAGATCAGTGCCATAACCTAAAAGCTTGTTTGCAGCAATTGCTTTTCCAGATTAGCTATTCAGCAGCATCTCAGTGTGTAGACACTACTGCTTCTTAATGAAACTGCCTTTTTTTGCTTAATCCGCTTTATAAACATCCAATTTTGAAAAACAGCCCTATAACCACATCAGAGTAGCCCTATAGCCCATCATCTTATATAGAGGGAACTGTATTTTAAGTTTCATAATGCTGACACACTCATTTTCTATTTAGATTCCAGAGTCGCTGTCACAAAAACATTTTTGTTTCCTCCTGTTGCTGCCAGCTCCCTTAGGAATGACAGCATTGGCAGTAGCACTAGCAGTAACAGTAAGTACAAGTGATTGAATATATGTGTCTCCATTTTGTTCTAGTAGCTGATTTTTATGAGAGCTCAGAGGAAAAGAATGTCATTAATTGTGCAAATTAATGGGAAGTTACATGATCCTAATAGTGTACCATGTGTTTCTCAGCTGTCATATTGAAATGCAATGAACTTATCTAACCAAAATGTATAGATGCTATCGAGTTACAATGATGTGACAGCTCTCTATAGCTTGGAGAGGACAGGCCTCTTTGTTTTGGCTGTTGTGAGGTCTCACTAGTCACGTGGCCTCAGCAAATTTGACTGTCCCAGACACTTCATTTTAACTCTCTGAAAAGGAAGTTGCTCCAAGTGAACAGAATAGCTATTATAAATCAGCTGAGGATACTCATATGGACAAAGAGATTGCCTGTACATTGCATTTTGGTAGTAATGTCAATCTGGTTTTACACCAGACCTGAAGACAGTCTCCATGTTTGCTAGCTGTAGTTGCAGTAGGGCTGCCTCCACAATCAGTGTGCTTTCGGTTGGGGTCAATGACAAAGCCACTACGCTTTTGGCAGGCTGTAGTTTTCTCTCTTGCATAATCATCTCCACGTTTCTCATCTTAGTCACTGTATTATATGACTGGTCACTGACAGATAAGAGAGCCCAGAACTGTTGATGTAAGAGCTTCAGCGTTACCCATCGTGAGGTCAGAAGGGGTGTAGGAATCTGAGGTGAGAGGAAACAGTGAAATTTCAGGGGCTTTTAGTGACATCATGTACAACAAGGTGAATAATCTCTGGAGCTTCCCATGTGAACAAAAGAAGGGGATTTTCCTTAGAGGTTTCTGAAATGGTGATCAAAGCTCAATCATGCTATTGTTTCCTTGTTCCTGTTTCCCAGACGCGTGAGGATAACATTGTGTGTCTGTCTCTCTTCACAATTTCCAGTTTTCACTTCACAAACATCTATGTTATCATAATGTGCGATGGTGAAGCGTATGGCTGGTAATCCCTGTGCATAAGAAATCGTGTGCAAGGAGGCAGCCTAATGTAGCCTGTTGGACACAGCCTGTTGGCAGCCTAATCTGTCCTGTTGGTGGGACAGATACTACTAAGCCTGAGTTTCTGCTCATGCTCCTTCTCTTGGGAATGTGCAATCTACTCTCTAGGCTTTTGGCACCATGCATGCTATCTCTTAGCTGGTTCACAGAGGCTATCAGATTTGAAGCCCTTCCTGATTGCTTTCTAATTAAGAGAAGGTCTTAAGTCATCATATCCCAGAACTCTTAGAGTAGAAGGCTGGAATAAAAAACCACCCTCAACTCCTGGCTGCTAGCCTAACTCTCTGGAAAAGAGAAGCCTCCCTGCCATAGGTTCCCTGCCAAGAGGTCGCAGAGCTGTGACCTCAGCAAGCAACTTACTGAGCTCAAGGCCAACTGTGAGGCACCAGGAGGGGATTAAAGAATGCATACCTGTTTCTCTCTCGGGTCTGAACATGTGATAATTTTTGCTGTCACTGCTAGAGGAAAAATACTCAGCCACAGCCTGAAGCAATGGGAATGGATCAAGGAGCCAAAAGACAGACAGAGAGATTACAGGAGCAGTTCAGATAAAAGGATTTGGACCCAGTATAATATCAGGCGGGATGCTGGGCAGTGCAGTGAAGTGTGGCACCTGTGTCTGTACTGTGGAGGAGAGCACAGAAGCAGGATTATTAATCTTGTTTTATAATTGGAACTGATAATCAAGTAGGAAAAAATCCTAATTAAAATAATGCAGTAAGTCAAAGAAATTGCTTGGCTGCCATATGCTGTACAGGTGTGTTTTAACTGATTATCATTCCCTTAAGCAATTTATTGGAAAATTGGATATCAGTTAACAGCCTTATGTAGAAATGACATGAGGACTGCGTGTCTGGGGCTGGGGTCAGTTTGAACTCATAATCAGATTAAATTACATTAACTTGAATACTGACTGGTTAGACTACAGTTATTTGTTTGGAGTTTTTTGCAGGGAGAGAGCTGCGAAATCTTTATTGGCATCTCCGTTTTACTCCCTGAAATGGCCTTCAGTACTGATTTTAGTTTTGTCTTGACTTTATTGCTGAGGAAGTTTTGGTTTTAGTTAATCCTTATCTTCTTGGAAGGAACAACAATGAATAAACCTTATTATTTCCCATGTGAGAACTCCCTAGCCCAGGGTGCCCTGGCTTCAGTACTGTTTTCAGGACAGCACCACTAGATTCAAATTTCGAAAATGAAAACATTTAGAGAAGAGAGGAGGCCTGAAAAAAACATCTTCAGACATAAACTGCAGTAATTTTTTAAAAAAATAACTCTCTTTAATTTTAAATAGTTTTAAACTGAGCTATTTTTTAGTTTAATAGTTTCTAAAGCATTTAGAAACATTCATTGTTTGCAAAAGAACCCCTCCAGATTAATAATAAATTTTGAATTTATTAATAAAATCTGTGTAGTCAGATGACTTGGACTGCTCCTCATTCTAAATTCAACTTAGACAAATCTGAAGTGCATCATCTAATAAAATAATTTGTGAAATAATTATCATATAAATTGTATATAAATAAGCTAAATTATGTGTTTTAATCTTGTTCCTACTTTTGTTGAAAGAGCCATGTTTCACGACTCCATTGTTTTTACACGACAATAAAACTAAAGTATGATAATATAGTAGAATCTTAACTAAATCTACACCAAAAATCTTAGCCCAACTAAATGTAAAATAGAACAATTATGCTATTCTATTTTTTTTTTTGAATGGCAGTAGTGTTGTTTTCATTCCTGTATTATTGAATGTAGATTTGTGACATGTTCCCACTCCATCTTTTCCTCCATAGAATTCTCAAGACACCACCACCAGCATTCCCAATTTATTTAAAGAGGCTTGGTTTTTTAGTCTTTGTGTTCCATGACTGTAGTCCAATTGAAATTCCATTTAACTGTTTAAGTCCCAGTCTTGCTGGTATTTCTCTGGATCATTATACCTCACATAGTCTAGAGAATTCAGATGAGATGGTTCCTGTGTGAAGAACAAGTGTTAGGATAGGAAGACTTGAGTCCTGATCTCTTCTTTCAGTAGTTGAACAAAACACTAAATAGTAGTCTTTTATTTTTTTCCCCATAAGATTAATCTCATATTGCTCTGATCAAACTTGAATTTAGTAGCTGCTACTAACATTTATTCCTCAATTTAATGCCATGATGTTCTTTATATTTTCAAGAAAAGTTCAGTAGTTCCTTCTTCTATTTTTTCCTATAATTTTCTCATAATAATTTAGCTTTGTTATTCAGTACCAAGAAGCTCAAAGAATGTGTAAACACAGAGATCTCTATGATTGCTTTTAGGAACAAGGTCTCCTTTTTTAATTAAGCGAAGAATACCATAGTTTAATTCAGTAATTGCACTACAATTTGAAAATGTTCACCCGTGGCTTAATGCAATTGGTGTTGCCTTCTGTGCCTTTGTTCCTTTGTTCCAACTTCATAGTTAATGGAAAACCCTAATGAACAGGTGAGAGCTGCTCTGCATTTTTACAGATAAGATCTTGTGGTAATTGTGTTGGAGCTGAGCAGAGGTAAACTGAAAATTCCTTTGAGACATATATGGCAAAAAAAAAATCAAGTCAGTGCTTTGAATCATAATCACATATGGCTCAAGTAGGAAGCAGCTCAGTAACTTCGTTGTGTAGCTGAGTGGCTTTTGATGTAAATATATTTTGTTCACGGCTTGAACATCCCAATGTCCATGAAGACTATGCATAAATCAGCATCAATTGAGCTCGACTCCTTAGGGTATCTTCCATGAGATGCAGAGTGAGAGCTCTGAGAGGTGGTGGCCTGCATCCACTCCCCTTTTCTACTTTGCTGGATAGAGTCTGTTTAAAATAGATAATATACTAACTGCAAAGCCAGCACCTTCTCTGGTATTGCCCAAAGAGTTCACAGAGTTCCTGTTACACCTGGTTTCCTCCTATTCCTTTTCCTGCTCTGTCTTTACAACTGATGGGAGTCAGAATCTTTCTATGTAGAGCTCTAAAGTTTCTAACAGAGGAAATGGTCCCTATGAAAGGAACAAAAACTTAATGGTAGCCAATTTGCTTTCCTTATCTCCCTTTTCTTCATTAGGACACAAGTCTCCGTGAAGTTCTCCAGACAGAGAATTTCCAACCTGTTCTGTTTTAGATATTAATATAAATAAAAGACAATGAAGGAACCTGTCATAACTCATTTCATTCTCCCTAGATCTTTCAAGAGACTTTTTTCAGGACTTCAGTGTAAAATTAAATAATCTGTTGTTGTTTGCTTTTTAAGGTAGTTAAAGGTTACTTAATTTTCAAATTAATTCATACGTGATATATCAAGTCATGAAAAAAATAAATCTATTGTCATTTTTAGAAGGTGGACTGGGAAGGATGTCACAATGGGACTGTATTTAGGCTCTGTTTCTGGGTTACAGGTCCCCACATGGAAAGCTTATTATGAATTCCTTTCAGTTTTCCATAGATGATGCAGAAATCATCTATATTGGAGATAAGTTCTCAAAAATCAGATTTTTTTTTCTGTTTTAGATACCTCATTTTAAAGGGTCTCTTCTGTTGTGTAATATTCCATTAAGTTTGTGAAAAATACTGTTAAAAACAAAGGTGCTAAACTATCACTGGTTACCCTGCATACAGAACGTTTCTCTAGAAGTTCATTTAGAAAACAGCATACTTGCCATGACATGCTGCCCAGCATTGCAGGTAGGCAGAGGGTTTTTGAGGTTATACACTCTACCATAACGTTATCAAATACATTATTTTCTAAATGACCTGAAGAGTATTTCCTTTGGTTTTTATTTCACTTCTTGATTTTTTTCTGAAGTTTGCAGGTTAGAATCTGGAAAACATGACCATCTCCATACAATTTACATAATTTAGTTGTGTAACTCAGCAGTCTCTCACTGGGAGGAATGGCATTAAGCAAATGAGGGTTATACTTTTCTTGCCTAGATCACAACAGCAATGTAGAAATTTTCTTCTGAGAATACAGTTCAGATAAAGTAATGACAGGAAGGCTTTTTTGAGTTGTTCAGGTTAGCTGTACCCCACTTGAGTTTACCCAGTTTTTCTGAAGATCAGTTCTGCAAGCAAACATCCTCTGTGCCTAATCTGGGAGAAAAAGTTAGAAAAGATATGTCCCCCCAGTTATTTTCTGACCTTGGCTTTAATTTCTGAGCAGGCAGAGGCAGATTAATCAATAGCCTCTCTTTTTCAGTTGATGTTCACCTCTGTAGAACTTTATCTGCTATCTTTCCCTTCTCCTCTGTAGACAGATTTCTTTCACGGTAAGCTAGTATTGGTTCTGCTTGACTGATGCTTCCTTTTAGTGTGCTGAGTCTTACCAGATTTAAGTGAAATTCAAGCCACTACAGTCAGAACCTATACTTTGTAAACAGTGTATGAGATACAGAGAGCTATGTATTGTATGAATGTATAAGATACAGACTTTATGCTGTCTTACTTTTTAGTTCTGTCTACGTTGAGCCTAGAAAACACAGCTGAATTTCAGGGATTAAAAGGATATTTGTCTAAAATTTACAAAATGTCAACCATAAAATCTCAGAAAGTTGAAAATGAATTATTAGATAATTGTAAGAATGCTCCTTTCTAAACCGAAGTGTTTTTTGGAAGCTGTTTAGTAATGTACTAAACACATTGTTTGACCCAGTATATCATACTGTATGTGTTTAGACATTTGTGTTTGCATCAGTTGCACAAATGTGGAGTGCTGTCAGTTCATTTTCCTTTCCGTGTATCCAATCAGCTATGCTTTTCCAGTGCTTACAGTTTGGTTCTTTTCCTGTAATCTGACAATATATCCACCACTGGAACTGCAGACTCCCAATCTTAAAATGAAAAAAAATGGGGTGGATGGTGTCTAAACTAACAGTCTGCTATGGTTCACTTTGCATTTCAGAAGGAGAATCCCCAGGTGACTCTCTAGGACTTTTCACATCCTGCTCTTCATTAAATAACTGCAGGGCCAAATTTTAGTCTCAGCATGCATGCAGCTTCCTGTGAGGGGAATGGAAAGACTAGGATTGGTGCTCTTCTGTTTAAAATGTTAAAAGCTATCAAGAAATGGTTATAACCAAATAGCACACAGCTAGACCTCAAGGTACCAAGGTTACTGAAGTCAGTGGCACCTTTCCAAGAAGATGTTAGAAATGGTCAGGCTTTTGTTAAATTAACCACCCTCAAGTGACCTCATGTTGGTCATTCATTAGTGGCAAGGAAAAGTGTCTCTGCAGTCAGTGGGAGGTCTCTGATGGAACTTAGGAAAATGCACAAATTAACATATATTGTTTTCCAAATAATTACTTTGTGTTTCAAGATAAGACCTCCAAGAATTAATAAATCCAAAACTTTGAAGTGTGGGAAAGAGAGAATTCTCTACAAGTGACAGAAAGAGAATTAGTGTTGGTACTTTTCAACACAGTTATTTCAGAATTGGGTGAAGCATCCTTGTGGTCAAAAACTTCCTGTAAGATTTTGTATGAAGTGCTCTTCATGTACATAGCACTTTGAAGTATCTGTTCTGCTATTTAAGATGCTGTTATGTAGGTGGTGCTTGAAAGTGCTCTTGCTAATAGTGTTGCCCTGAAGATAGTTTTCTTCTATAAATCTGCCTTCACTAACAGAGTATCTTTAATTACAGAAGAAGCACTTGGCTTCATTAGCAGCTCCAGCCTGCAAGGGATCAGCATAGCATTGACATCATTGCTGTCTCTTCTTATTGGCTTTATTTTGGGAGCCATATACTGGAAGGTAAGAAATACTACATTTAATTGTTTACCTAGTGATACTACATTTCTTAGCTAGGGGGAGGTGGAAAGAACAGAACCATTCTGCGTTTGAAAACAAGAGACAGCTCTTCTGATTTTCACTGAACTGTGGAATGCAGATGTAAATAAAATGCAGATGTCAAATTCTTGAATTCCACTGTCAAAGTGCAAATCCTGTCTTATCAGCATGATCGCTGTCTAATTGGAAACTCTTCATGGCTGGGATTTGTGAACGAAGATTTGGGGAGGGCTCTACCCACGTTTGTTACAAGCGCGCTGGTGGCTAAAAAGGCCAATACGAGACAGGCATGTCCAGTTGCAAAAGGCACAGCAGAAAGACTCCTTAGGTGGTATATTCTGCAAGGTACAATGTGGGATTCACCCAATTCTCCACTTCTCCTATTGTATATTGGGAATAGATTTTTTTTTGCTTTTGCCCCTACAATACAAAGACTTCAATAGTAAAATTATATCAGTAGCAGATGTATTTTAGAGGACAAGATTTGACCTGCATTGTGCAAGCTGACTTTGATACTGAAAATATGAAGCAAATTGAAACATACTGCAATTGTTTAGGGAGTTACTAGAGAAAGCTTTAGAATATTTATGTTTAATGCATTTTCTTCCTAGAAAACACATCCCGAACCCAGACCAGAAAGTGTTGAAACTACACAGTGTCATGACTGTCAAGAGGAAAATGAGATAAGGTATAGCATTTCACTTGATATTTACATTTGAAAATATGATTTTATCTTTGAGAGCTACTTCCTGTTACTCTCTAGCTCTATGACAAACGCAAAAAACCTGCAAACATGGGGTCTTGCTGCAGAGGTAAAATATGTGCTTAGGGTGTGCCCTTTAAAGGACCTTCTGGTGTAAATATAGAAATTGATATGGAGAATATTTCTGCTTACAAAATTTTATAAAGAAGACATTACCTTTACTTTGTCTGTCCTTACTCCCACTGTGAGAAAGGATTGCTGAGACCTATAGGGGAAGCAACAAAATGAAATGAATGTTGTCATTTGCTGTGTGGTGTAAAGCTAGGCTGACACTACAGTGTAAAGCTAGGCTGATATTATGGAAATAAATAGAAAGCAGTGTCTTCCTGGTTGTGTTCCTAAATCCTTTTAAATACTTTTTACATTAGCATTTTTTGTGTTCTTTTACTTTTTTGTATTCCCCAGGGTACTATGTTTTCCAGGGTTTTTTTTCTGTGCTTGTAGAAAGTTGATGAGGACTCATTAAAATCCTAATCACTTCCTACAGTCATCCTGAAACGATTCAAGGCTCTGTTCATAGTTAAACTCATACTTAAACATGGCTTTATCTGACTTTTAAACAGAAGTTCTGTGTAACTCAGCCAATCAAATATACCTTAGAAATAACAATTAAAGACTTTGAAGTTCCTTAGATATGACTTGGGCAAAGAATTCTGTGAAATTCAGAAAAGGACTTAGGGATATTCATGCTATAGCATTTTGAGAGTACTGTTTAACTTCATATTTCATGATGTTTTGTCAGATTTTAACTATGAGGGACTTATGGAAAGATCTGATGCGGTTGGTAGAAGGAGACATACTGTAGTCCTCTCACACTGTGAAATGTCCGGCGCTGCCCGCTATTGAATGCAGAAACAGGCAAAGTTCTGGTCTAGCAGTTTGGTCACAGCTGAAATTTTCAGTGTTTAGGCTTGCTAAAATAATAAATCCTTAAAACAAATTTACTTCATGTACAGTATATAGAATGAAAGACTGTATATTCACCAAGTATATTAGTTGCTATGAGTAACTCATTCTGCATCTCATCCTCACAGATATTAAATCCTGTGAAATGGAACATACATCTTCCTTTAAACATCACAGGAAATATAAAATACTGTTTTATATGAAGAAAAGAGGAAAAAAATTAGTTAAATGCAGGAGAGGACCTTAGCAGGAAATTTAGACAGACTGTGTTCTCCATCAGATGTCTTCTTAAATATGTGGCATATGTGCTGGCATATATGGCACAGATGAGTAGTAGAAATTTCTTCCTGAGAAATTTGGAATATTCATCTACAAATAGAAAGAACTAATAGCAAACATAAATTATAATACTTTGGGTTCCCTTTTATTTTAACTAACTTACAGATCCTGCTATTCTATTGGAATTAAAAAACTAGTATTATAGTAATAAAGTACCTTTTTTTTCCCCCAGTATGTTGCAGCAAAAAGAAAAGAAACATCTACAAGTGTAGCTGTTGCTTTTTTTCCCTCAACACTGTTACTGTTTCATGTACTGGTAAGTTTTTCTGGTAACAGTCTTACCATAGACTTAATTACTTTCAGTTTCTGCAATTCAGCAGTCCATTTTGGGAAAAAAAAAATATCTTGCTATCAGTAGCCTTGATTTGTGCATAAGATCTTTAGCAACTACTTTAATTAATCCTGTACCATTAATTTAGACACTTGACTTTTAACTCGAATGCTTCAAAATGAAATGTACAAGAATTCCAAAGTGAAGTACAGCTACTGCTACTCCTTTTTGGCTCAAGAGCTGATGGAGAAGCCTTCAGCTGTTGTCCTACAGCAGTTTGGAAGCAATGTGAACTAAAAACACAATCTGCTAAAAGTAGCAGGTGAGCGTAGGAGAACAGGTCAAGCAGAGCTGAGCTTTTATTAATTGTTGCTTGGTCAGCACAGTTTGCAGTCTCTGTAGCCTCATCAGATGCATCATTCTTGCTTTAGTATGCAAGAGTGAACAGCAAAGGTAAGTGAGGTTTCTCAGTCACAGCTGTCCTCTGCAAAATGGTGTGCTTCTCTGGCAAGAGGCTTCTTACCACAGGAACTGTGCTGTTCTTAACCCATGGCATCTATGAAAGAGTCTGGAAGATTCAGGCAGCACTGAATGGTTCATTTTATATCACGAGTGGAAAGAGCAATGCAAAAGTAAACAGGCAATCCAGATTTTGCAATTCGTCCTGTAGCGGTTACTCTCAGGTGTTTGATGTGATCATGTTAGCTACAACCTGAGTGAGTTTCAGACTCCTTAGCTGCTTTGTTCTAACACCTGCTTAGTGAGAAGGTAAATTGTCGCTGCATTGGACAAGTCATTCAATTTTTCCAAACATGTAAACTCAGTTTGGTATTGACTTGTCCAAGATGACTTCAAAGGGAAGTTTGCTGCCAGAGATTGCCAATACCAAAATGCACAAACAACACTTCTGTAAAACCATGACGGTTGTTTCATCACGTTAGATGACTTCGATGAGCTTTTGAAGGCAAGGGTGTTCTTGACCAGGAAAGTATATCTTATAACATTTTTCTTTCTGAGTAAAGAAATGTCTATACAAGTGTCATTAAATGTATCTAGTTCCAAAATTATAAGGAAAAAATGTCTCTGTTATATGTCTGTGAGTTATACAGGGAGGAAGACTAATCAGCAAAATCAGTTTCTGTTTTTCTCTTCAAGCAGGTAACAGTTCCATGTTCGCTTCATAAATGAAGCAGCTTTAAGCACATTCGTATTCCTTCTGGAGTGACAGACTGAGTCTGCATCTGTTGTTGCTGCCCATGACTTCGTAGACATGATATAGAAACGAGGACAATTTGTGTTTGTTACTGTGAAACCAACAGTGAATTGAACAATTAAAGAAGAGTGTGCACTTAGCAGGACTGTCTCTTATATGAATATCTACCTTGTGTGACATTTGAGGATTTCTAATTGCATTAATACTTTCATCTGACTCTGGCAAACAAAGTATGTCCTGAACAAAAAGCATCTTTCAAATGCCTCCAACTATGTATAATCATTGCAAGTCGTAAATACCTTTCCACCCTTATTTAAATTTTGTGTCCTCTACCTTACACTGATGTCTTCAGATGGAGATCTCTGAACTGACAGAAAATGCAGAAATGGATACAGATAACATACTGTTCGATATTGTATATAAAACTTGAAAGTAAGGTCATACCATGAACTAGAGTTCTAGACTTTTACTTATAAGGAGCTGTGTTTATGCCTGGCAAAGGTCGTGTGTACAGCAACATGTGGTCTCTGTCGGGTGCCAGGTGGCTGGTTGCCCACCCCAGAAAGCCTCAAGAATTTATCAGCATTGATGGTCTCTGTTCAGGAGAAGCAAATACTGGATGAAGACAAAGTAAACAAGAGGTGAATGTAACTCATAGAGCTTCGAAGCATTCAGAGTAACTGCTGGGGATGTGAACACTGGTGAAATTTCCAGCCATGCTAAGGGAAAGTAAAGAGTCTGAATTACGTTCAAACATCAGAATAAAGACAAATCCGTGAAATGTGTTTTAAATTCTGATGATATATGCCATTGATACTTTGTCTTTAAATGTCTAGAGTAGGAAATCTGAAAGATACTGAGAGTGTATTTAGCTTTTACTTACATCAGCTATAATTAATGTTTGCATTGTGTTTTAAGTGATAAGTAAGCTTTAATATCCTGGCATTCTCCACTCTTGAAGGTTAATTCTTTTGAAACAAAAGAGAAAGGCTTTGTTTCTCACTTGTCTTCTGCATCTGTTGCTGTTATAGCATCAATGGAATATGTACAGGACTGATGTACAGACATGTATTTTCAAGTAAATCCTAAAAATACCATGGTAAAAGTTACAAGTGTAGTTGTGCATCTTTTCATCTTGGCTCTTTCCGAATAATGGTTGTGATTATTTATCGGTATTAGGGGGGTTTACTCCCAAAAGGTAAAGGCTCACTTCAGATGTCAAACTGTCATCTGTTATCAAATTGACCAGGTCAGCAAGAGTTCTAGTTTAACCTACTTAAGAAATTAAAAAAAAAAATCCCTTTTAATGTTTTGCATAAAGTTTGAGTTCTCTTTAAAATGTATAGTCACTAAAGTTTTTAAGAGTTCTGTGGAATTTTTTTCATCTGCTGAATTTTCTGAGAACCATGCATAAAAAGAATATGTCATACATATAATACATACGTATGTGTGCATGTATGTGTGTGTGCGTGTGTGAGTGTGTGTGTATTATTGGTAAAACTGTCTTATTAAAAAGACAAAACCTCAGAACCTTACCATGTTTGATGACAGAGCTGATGTGTGCATATAGCCACTCTGCGTGGAATTTTTACTCTATGAGATCATTGTTAAAACTTCTCATGAATTTACTGATGCAAGGATTTGATCATGTGGAATTTTTATTTATACTCGGGCCCTTTTTGCGCTTCCTGGATGTCAGAAAAGGGTCCTCAAGTCCTACTCAGCTGGTATAAATTCACATAATTCCATTAAGTATAACAGAACTTTGCATCATCTGAGGAACTTCTCTTAGACAAGATCAAAAGAAGCTTAGTGTGAGAAGCTTCATGATTATTCAGAAAGATGCTCCTGTAGAACTCATCCAATTAATAATCAAGATTGTTCATCACATCTAAAAAGCAAGTGCATTCCTCAAATAACAGAATTCCCCATCTGCGATTAAGTTTCCTTTGACATTGTGTCGTTCTTTACTCACAAGGCCCTCAGACTCTGAGTTTCAAACCTATTTAAGAGTTATCCTAAAAAAAATGTCAGTATGACCTATTTGATGGAAATTTGCACCTTATTGGTAATGTAGAGAATAACTGTGTTTTAGTTTTGACTGAATGGAAGTGTCCAGAAGCAGTTATCCTTACACATTGTACAAAAACCTTAAATACTTCATACAATATGATATTAAGGCAAGCTTATACATTTGAAGTTTTAAAAAAATTTTCTTAGATTCAGTCAAACAATAATCTTGTATTTATTAATGTTCTTGTTCCTAAATGCATTCTGTCCAGAAAATCAAATACACAATGATGTTGCACATTGGTGTGCCCCAAATTATACTTTGATATTCAAAATGTGCAATATTTTAGGCTTCTTAGTCTACTATTCAATACTACAGAAAATATCAGCTATGAATTGAAACATGCATTAAACACAGATTTGACAAAATATTCACCTTCCAAGAGCAATATCTCAAAAAAGTAGCTAAATCACTTTCAAATAATGTCAGATGCTTTAATCTTTCTGTGGAGCAAGGGAAATTTAAGGCTATATGAGAATAGAAAGAAAATTTATGTACAAACTTTCCACCTTCACATCACAAACTTTGTTCTTTGAATATGCACCAAAGTCATTTGACACATGGAGTAGCAGAACTGTTGTTCGACCTTATTGTTTTCCCATTCTCTGCAACTCCTTTTGAGAGATCTGAACATAACATCAGATGTTCTCAGTCCTCTTGCAAAGCAGGACACTTCTAGACATTCTGTAGATACAGTAGATAGCATGGCATTGGAAATGGGATTGTGAATTTATTGGAAACTTTCTGTGGCCACTGAGGAGATCTTTACTTTGGACATAGTGACATTTTGAAAGACAACTGACTTGTGAGACATCTTTGAAATAAATGTAAATAGAAAAAGTTACTGTTCAGTGGGAGTTGGGGTGGCAGAAATAGACTTTTAATTGTCTCTGTATTCCATTGTAAGCTGTTTAACTTCTGGAGAGTGATCAGTTTTTCAGTCTTCTTTTTGGGTAGACAGAGCCTACGCATTAACACAGTTGGAAAACTAACACCCTTCCTCTTAAAATGAAATTGGGGGAAAATGGGTGTTGTATTTTTTTTATACAAAAGTCAGCCAAATTTGGCTTTTGGATATCTGTGGTGAGAAACAACATTTTTAAGTTGCCTTTGAAATAGTTCACTTTTGCATGCAATTATTAAGGGCCTTGTGAGGAAAAAAAAAACAGATAGTGATATGCTGAGTAACTCTGTTTAGGTTTGTGTTTACTTGAATGAATTAATGGTACTTATTTCATCACAAGGTCATTTTATAAGCTTTCTTATAAAATGTGCTTGACTACAAATGTGCTTAACTATGGAGTGTGTGTACAACCTGCACATTTTTTTAGGTTCTCATCTTCACCAGCTCTGTTTTCTCTGTTGCTCTCTCTTTGTAATATGCTGAAACTGTTCAGTACACACAGTACAACTACTAAATTGAAAATCTAACTGTATATATAAAATACTGATATTTTGAGTTAGATTTACATTTAAAAATTATCCAACATTCTTCAATTCAGGAATCTGATTCAACTGCCTTAAACGCAGATCTACAGTAATGGTGACATGTTGCTATTATGTTATCAAATTGATGGAACACGGAAACTTCAGACTCTTTAGTGACAGAGACACAGGCATTTGCTGGTTGCATCACGGGCAAATTCATTTATTTAAATGTAACTGTCAGCACAGTTTTGCATAGTTACATTCTGACTGAAGGTAATCAACAAAGTTTATAAAATGTGATGTGTGTACATATGTGTCCTCTTGAAGATAGATGTTTTCCCACATCCTTTTTTATATCAGTTCAAATTTGGAATTTACATTATATACATATACTTTATTGTTCTAAATAAAGATATTATGCACTGCCAAATAATTACTATATTGCTTTGTGTCAGTCCCATTTAAGACCTTTCTTTAAGTCCTGTATCACTTGGAAGAATTCTGTCAGAACATATGCTACTAGATGCAGACTCCTTCATAATGCATTTCATGAATGTTGCTGGTGCACTTCTTGCACAATAAGTAGCATTCACCAGGGTTTTCCAGTAGAAACTAGAGCTTATCCTGTGAGAATGGCATCATTTCTTTCAGGTTTCAGCAGTTTATTGTGGCTTTTCTGTAAGAAGTCCAGGACAGGACACATCTCCATTCCTGAGAGAGAATGAAAGGATGCTGGCCTAAGAGGAAGAGATAAACCTGCTGAGACTTTCAGCCTTCCTTGGAGAGCATTAAGGAGCCTTGGAAGAAAGAGAGGTGAAGCTGCAGTAGTCAGATACAGATGGAAATAAGAGTGAGGTAAAGACAGGACTGGTGAGGAAGGGTAGAGAGCAGGATTAGTGGACTGGGACACAGGGCAGCAGGATTTGGGGATAGCAGAATTTAGGGTGTGGACAAGAATGAGAGCTGTGGCTGTTGGTCTGGACACAGCCAGAAAGGCAGAGCAGGTGGACTTGAAGGAGGCCATGGAGCAGTGGAGTAGCACTGATGCTGTAGCAGGAGTTGTGCCCTGAGAAGCAGCACTGGTGGCTCAGGTGGGTCAACAGTATGATGGACGCTCAGTTCAGCTAGGGCTACATGACTACCATGTAGCTGCAGAGTTGGAAATGAGCATACTTCATGTGGAAGCTGCAAACTTCATGCAACAAAAAGGAGGCAGATTTGACTTGGTATTTCAAGATGCCAAAAGTGACAGCTAGGTACCTGGAAATGAGATGTAAGAATTCTTAGCTAACAAAACAACTCTCACTAAAGTCAGGAGCTGGTAAATGATAATCTGCTTCAATGTCCAGATTGACTGTGGTGTGGAGATTGTTGGTGAGGGGTGACCCTCAGAGGAGGGAACAGTAGTGTTTAATATCAATGTCACAAACAGTGGGATCAAGTGCTCTCTCAGCAAGTTTGCAGACAACACCAATCTGAGTGGTGTCAAATACATCCTGGGCTGCATAAAAAGGGACTGTGGCCAGCAGGTTGAGGGAGATGACTCTGCTCTGCTCTGAGACCTTACCTGAAATACTGCATCCAGGTCTGGGGTCATCAGCATAGGAAAGGTATGGGCCTGTTAGAAAGGGTCCAGAGGAGGAACACAAAAATGGTTGGAGGCATGAAATATGTTCCTATAAAGAAAGGCTGAGAGAGTTGGGGCTGTTTAGCTTGGAGAAGAGAAGGCTCTGGGGAGACCTTGTTACAGCCTTCTAGAACTTAGAGTTGGTTTATAAGAAAGATGGGGACAGACTTTTTAGTAGGGTCTGTTGCAAAAGGACAAAGGTTAATGGTTTTAAACCTAAAGAGGGCAAATTCAGACTAGATGTAAGGAAGGAATTTTTTACAGTGAGGAAGGTGAAACACTGGAAGAAGTTTTCCAGAGAGGTGTTAGATGCCTTGGAAATATTCAAGGTTAGGTTGGATGTAGCTCTGAGCAACCTCATCTGGTTGAAGATGTCCCTGCTCATTGCAGGGAGGATGAACTAGATGGTATTTAAAGGCCTTTTCCAACTCAAACTAATCTATGACTATGACTCTAGGAATTGTAACATGTGTAGATAAAGTGCAAGAGGGAAAATCCGGGAAAACATGTAAATCTTCAGCCAAAAGAGACACCACCGTAATATTTTGATGACTTACATAATGCTGACTAACTACATACCAGCACCACCACCACCACCACCTAATTTGAACCCTGAAGACTTAAATGTGCTAAAGGATTGAGAGAAATATTTACCTCCAGTTTTCCAATTTTAGTTTGTCCAAAACAATTAATATAAACATCTCAGTTAGTGGACAAAAACAAAGGCTATCTTTGTCTGAGGCATGGACAGTATTAATAATGACGTTTTCCTACTTCTGTCATGCAGAAAAACAACATTTATTGTAACAAACAACTTTTTCTTGATAGCAATACATTTTAACAGCTTAACGCTTCCATGAAATGACTGTATTTTAGATGAGCTGGATATATGTCCACTCCACATACACTCCATGCTACACTCTAGTGTAATTTTATTCCATGTTAACACATGTGTGTTACTAAACGTATTTTTTGTCCAAAGTTTTTGAATGGTCATAAATAAGATGTTTTTAGTCTTAACAAAATGGATTGTTTCAGTATTTCACACTATATTAACAGCTTACAGAATCACTTCCTTGCTACTCTTCACGTAGCTGTTGATGATAATTTTTTTCCAAAGTTCAGACATTTCTAAAATGGATTAAGTTTTCCCATTATCTACAAAGCAGCATGTGCTAACACAATCAAGTCTTGTATTGTTATTATATACTTAAAAGGAATTAACATGTGCTGGTATGTAATAGAAAATAAGGTTAAATTAAAGCAGACTGCAAGAGGGAGGGAATGGAAGTTTAGCCTCTTTTTCCTCTGCCATGTCCCAAGGTAAGTTATTGCAACATGTATCAGGAAAAATCCCAATGTGATTATAGTTCCTCTGACTTCTGGCCCTTTCTGCAAGACGTCATGATGAGCAAGCAGGAACTAAAAATACAGACGAGACATTTTGCAGACAGACATGAGCCTTGGGCTTCTGGCCAGTCGCAAAATGTAGGGACAATTTTCATTCTTTTTTGGCAAGATATTTCTTGAGCTCATGAAAAAATATTCGACTGAGACACAAAAGCTTCTTTGTTTGTCACCAGTTCTGCTCTGCAGGATAATAGCATGATAGTAAAATTGGCCCAATTAGAGTAAAGAAGCTGCAGAGCAGAATGTATAGCTTTTGTCAGTTTAAGTGACTACCACAAGTGACAAAATGTCATCTTCGAAATTTCACCTTGTCATCTCCTACATTGTGAATGATGCTTATTAGGACCCCCCAGGTTATTTAATCTGTCATGTTCTTAAAGTTAAATATTTTAGACCTTCCTTTTTCTCAGCAGTGCTGTCATCATTAACAAAACACAGAACAGCCTTCACCTTTAGAAGTGACAAAATGAGGATGTGTCTCAAAACCAATTAATAACATCAGTGAAAGCAGAGACATAGCATCTAAATCTTTTGTATCTCATCCCCGAGAATAAAGCAAGAAGTTCTTTGTGGCAATTATTCCTCCTTTGCCAGAAGTTGGGAAGAAAGTAACCCATTGACATGGTGATACCACTCAGTAGTTTGTTGTTAAGTCTTGTTTCATATTGTTCCAGAGGAATCCAATTGCCTCAGTCCATGAGCACTGTGTTTCCTTGATTTTATTTTAAATGCTCTAACCTTTGGATCAAAAAAAGAGTTGTGCGAATGAAGGATGCTGTTACATGCTACAATTGGGTGCTCATTACATTTCAAATAGAATCACTGATACACAGCAAAGTTTTAAACAGGCATACTAATGTACATGTAATGTAGTGTGGGATGGCAGGTGCTGATGGGGGTGGAGCAGGAGACAGTGGTTGGATTTAGCAAATTTTACAGGTAACTGCTGTGAACTTCAATCATATACCCCGAAGGAATGGCTGCACGTTACAGAATCTCTTCACAAATCCAACTCTTGGCAAGAGTGAGCCTCAAGATTGCCAAGTCCCATGCGCTGATCAAAAGGCTTGCTGGGCATCCCACACTGCACTGTATTCCCCAGCCACTGGCTGCTCAGTACCGTTGCTCTTCCTGCTCAGTGGCTGCAAGTGCCAGAACCACATGCACCTACCATGTCCCTGGGGGTTCCTGAGATGAATCCATCTATATTTCCATATAGGCCACCAACGTTATTTCACTGAGAGCCAAAAATCTGGCTCCACGTTGCATGACTCAAACAGGTCTTCTGCATTTCAACCTGGACCAAAACTGGAAACTCAGCAAAGCCCCAGGTTTTTTCTCTTGCATACACGCACCTTTACGTTCTGTTCTGTCATTATCCAGTACCTCCTTCAGCCCCCACCCAGACTCCCTGTACTCTCCTCTTGAGTCATACTCTGCAATTTAAGCCTCATGTATCCCACTTGCACTTAGCAGTCCTACCATTAGCAGTTTTATGTAGACAGTAAACATTTGAGTTAGCATTTAGGAAGAAAACACTTCAAATTGTTTAGCAAAAGATTAGACTTCTGGGGTCAGCTATAACTGGAATACTGCTAGTCTCACTGTAAATTGCACTGCACAGCAGTACACATGCTGGCTGCAAGCAGAGAAATTCCCACAGAGTTTTTCCTCAGAGGAACAAACAAAGTTTATGCTGCATAAATATGTTAACCCTATTTTCCCCTAAAAGTATTTGCCCGTCAGATTTAAGGCAGCAAGAGCTGGTGAAATTAATCAGATATGTCTTTGTGTGGTCCTTGCTCACAGGGTTCCAATCAGTAAAACTTCCTGAACTGACTGAAGTCTAACCTTTGCCTCTGATGATCCTCTTGTTGATCTTGCCCAGACCAATTATAACTTGAGCTCATTTTGCTGTGTTTCATCTTGCTGCATCCCCAGCAGCTTCTGTGGCCCTTGCCTATCCAACCATGAGTTGACTCAAGCCCCATGCTCTTCCCACCTCTAACTCTGTGTCCATTACAAAACCTTGCCATATTGACCAAGGCTGGGGAGCAGCATGTGTTTTCAGAGTCAAGACATACAACACACCCATCCAAACACCTCCTTCACCTTCTTATAGTAGTCTGGGCCAGGCTTGCATGCTCTGATGGGTCAGACACCAAGGTATATATCTTTGGATGCAAAGAGTGTCCACAGTCTCTTCACCCCACAACAGCAGTGCTGCTCCAACGTTGCTCCACAGGCTGTAGGAAGCCACGCAGTGCCAGCCTTTAGCTTCCATCTGGCCTGGTTCCAGGAGTACTGCATTATACTTTGCACAGCAATGCAGATTCAAAGGGAGAGAGAAGCATGGTCTTGCACCCAGCCTGGTGAGAAGGGGATTGAGAAACTCT